TTTCTCCCTCTCCTCTCTCCTTATACGTTCAATTCTTCCCTCCTTCTTATACTTTCTCCCTCTCCTCTCTCCTTATACGTTCAATTCTTCCCTCCTTCTTATACTTTCTCCCTCTCCTCTCTCCTTATACGTTCAATTCTTCCCTCCTTCTTATACCTCCTTACACTTTCTCCCTCTCCTCTCTCCTTATACGTTCAATTCTTCCCTCCTTCTTATACTTTCTCCCTCTCCCCTCTTCCTCTCTCTCACGTTTTCTCCCTCTACTTTACGGCCTCCTGCATACACGAACGCATGTGGCAACACTCCCTTTATCGCTACTATGTTTCCGCTCTGCATCCGGTTTTTACTTTATTTTTAGACCGTGCAGTACAAATTCGGGTCAGAAAGTTACATTAACCGGTCCAGCAGAAGAAAGAGAGAAAAAAAAATGAGAAGGGACAGCCATAAGGTGAACAAGGAAGCAGGAAAAGCTAGAATATTCATGCGGAGAAAAGAAGTAAAAGTAGCATTTGTTGTCTATGAATAGCCCAGAAGCGTTTTGTCTACGTGTCATAAGGTTGTGAGTTTTACGTTAGAGTGCCGCATTCTCGCCTGTTCTGCGTTCAGTGGCACGGCCACTAACACACGTTTACATTTCACAAGAGATTTTGTAAGTCGAATATGTTATATATGAATATGTTAGGAGAAGTTAATGCTTTAAATGCAAACGCGCGCATGCATGCACACAGCATATTGGACTGTCTGTATATCTTTTTATTTTTATCTATACTTACATCAGTCTCTCTATCCATCTATCTGTTTGTCTGTCCATCTGTCTATCTATTTATCTGTCTGTCTCTCTACGTATATATATGTATATGTGTGTGTGTGTGTGTATGTGTGTGTATGTGTGTGTGTGTGTGTGTGTGTGTGTGTATGTGTGTGTATGTGTGTGTGTGTGTGTGTGTGTGTGTATTATGCATGTATATTGATATATATATATAAATATAAATAGATAGAGAGAGAGAGATGGGGAGAGCGAGAGAGAAAGAGAAAGATAAAGAGAAAGAAGACAGAAGAAAAGAGAAGAAATTAGCGATGGAGAGAGAGAAAGAGAGAGAGAGAGAGAGAGAGAGAGAGAGAGAGAGAGAGAGAGAGAGAGAGAGAGAGAGAGAGAGAGAGAGAGAGAGAGAGAGAGAGAGAGAAGTGTGTGCATGTAGTTCCGTTTGAGAAACTAAAACTGATTCTCACAGCATTACGAATGAGGGAGAAAAAAATTTAGACCCTAACTGCTTATAGAAGTATACATATTCCCACACCAAACTCTTGTCGCCACAACCGATGAAAATTACGTCATAATACCGACGTAATAACGTGTGAGACAAGAGCAGTTCGCGACGGCGTTTTGGAGATAGAAGAATGACATCCGAAAGCGGCAGATGAGAGATAACGTGTATTTCCCGCGTGTGAACTCCCACGGACCCTTGAAACAACTATCTCCACAACCTCGGACAATCTGACAAAACAACAAACAACATACTTGGCACTGGGATGAAGGGGGGGAGGGTAGGGGGAGAGGGAAGAGGGGGAAGGAGAAGGGAGTTTGGGGGAGAGGGAGGGAGAAGAGGTCTTGAGGGGGAGAGGGAGGGAGAGGAGGGTTCACGGGAGAGAGACAGGGAGGGGAGGGAGGAGGGGGGTTGAGGGGAGAGGGGAGAGGCAAGGGGTCAGGGGGAGAGGGGAGACGTATCTGACAGGCGGCCAGGCACGTGGCTCTCGGTCCTTTGAGACGAGAGAAGCGAAAGATATTAAGGTCGTTAATCCCCTCAAGTGATATGGCTATTTTGTGACTAAGAAAACTAGGAAAAACAGTGCAATTTAGCCCGAGAGAACCCTTCTCGAGTGCTCCAAAGAGAGAGAGAGAGAGAGAGAGAGAGAGAGAGAGAGAGAGAGAGAGAAGTGTGTGCATGTAGTTCCGTTTGAGAAACTAAAACTGATTCTCACAGCATTACGAATGAGGGAGAAAAAAATTTAGACCCTAACTGCTTATAGAAGTATACATATTCCCACACCAAACTCTTGTCGCCACAACCGATGAAAATTACGTCATAATACCGACGTAATAACGTGTGAGACAAGAGCAGTTCGCGACGGCGTTTTGGAGATAGAAGAATGACATCCGAAAGCGGCAGATGAGAGATAACGTGTATTTCCCGCGTGTGAACTCCCACGGACCCTTGAAACAACTATCTCCACAACCTCGGACAATCTGACAAAACAACAAACAACATACTTGGCACTGGGATGAAGGGGGGGGAGGGTAGGGGGAGAGGGAAGAGGGGGAAGGAGAAGGGAGTTTGGGGGAGAGGGAGGGAGAAGAGGTCTTGAGGGGGAGAGGGAGGGAGAGGAGGGTTCACGGGAGAGAGACAGGGAGGGGAGGGAGGAGGGGGGTTGAGGGGAGAGGGGAGAGGCAAGGGGTCAGGGGGAGAGGGGAGACGTATCTGACAGGCGGCCAGGCACGTGGCTCTCGGTCCTTTGAGACGAGAGAAGCGAAAGATATTAAGGTCGTTAATCCCCTCAAGTGATATGGCTATTTTGTGACTAAGAAAACTAGGAAAAACAGTGCAATTTAGCCCGAGAGAACCCTTCTCGAGTGCTCCACGCTCTGTCTTAGCGTCGCCTCTGTTGCTTCGTGTGAGTACAGTACAATCTCGACAGCCGTTTAGATTTACTACAGGTACTCGTCTTTTCGCCGGTGAAGGTGTCGGCTCATCCACCTCGTTGCCATAAAATCCATGAGATTTAACTGTATGCTTAGGAAGAGAAGGAGAGAAAGAGAGAGAGGGAGAGAGGGAGAGAGGGAGAGAGAGAGGGGGAGAGAGAGAGAGAGAGAGAGAGAGAGAGAGAGAGAGAGAGAGAGAGAGAGAGAGAGAGAGAGAGAGAGAGAGAGAGAGAGAGAGAGAGCGTAAAACTTCAGGCGCGAGTGTGTCCTCTGCGTGTTGCAAAATCGTGATTCACGTGTGGGTACAGGCGAGTGGGAGGGACCAGGGGGGAGGGGTGGGGGAGTGATTCATTTCGGGTATCAGGGTGTGGTAATCGAAGAAGGGTGCATGTCTGCGCGCGCGCGCGTGTGCCTCTCTCCGCCGTGACCCCTAACATATCAAGTCTCCCCCTGTGTTACTAAGCACCAGTTTGTTACTGGAGGCAAGCCTCTGGCGGCGCGGCGAGTGTGAACGTTATGAACTGCGAGTTGAGAAACTCAACACACCCTGGTGCTTTCCGCTCCTGCTCCCGGCCAGCGCGTTTCTCTTGCACTTTCAAGTGTTTAGGTGATTTCACAAAGCCTGCAAGCGTGTGGTGGGAGTGCCAAAATGGCTGAAATCCATGTCCAGCTAGCGCCCTCATCACGAGGCCCTCCCTCTCTCTCTGATTTTCACTCAATCATTCTCTCCCTTTCTCACCTCCAACAATCATATTAATAGAAAAAAGGACAAGATCAAAGCCACTTGTATAATGCAAAATGCCTGGTAAATCTGACCTGCTAGTGACAGCACTTGCCTCAGAACACACGCAGACAATGGCAGACGTCTCACACCCGGAGCTTCTAACCTGGGAACAATGGCCACGGCTTTTAAAAGACAGCTAATAAAGTGAATGCCAGTGTTCCCAGAGGACATTTCCCCTCCGTGATGGAAAAACTAATTACAGATTCATTTGACCAAAACAAAAATAAATTGCTGTGGCTAGGAATCCTCAGACTTAATTTATGGCGTTCCGTGGAACTTCTTGTTTTCTGTAGCGACCCGCCCCCAGCGAGCACATGAACAAAGCTGTCGTGAACAGCAGAGCGTGCTGTTTTGTTCTCTGTGACAGCGGAGGAAATTTATTGTGAAACTAAGCACACGAACGTACACTCAAATACACACATGTATGTACACATATACACACACAATATATATATATAATATATATATATATATATATATATATATATATATATATATATATATATATATATTCAATATACATATATATATATATATATATATATATATATATATATATATATATATATATATATATATAATATATACATATATATACATATATATATATATATATATATATATATATATATATATATATATATATATATTTAATATATACATATATATATATATATATATATATATATATATATATATATATATATATATATATATATATATATATATATATATATAATATACATATATATATATATATATATATATATATATATATATATATATATATATATATATATATATATATATACGTATATATGTATGCTTGTGTTCATGTGTATATGTGCGCGCGCGCGCGCGTGTGTGTATACATATACATACATATATACACATATATATCTATATGCATAGATTAGAAGTCATTTTTTCGCGGCGTTTCTCCTCTATACCACTTCCACATCCCATTTTTTTAGGCAGAAAAAAGAATCGAATGCCTGGCAATTGATTACTTTAAACCAATGGGATTTGACTTCCCAAAGAAACAGTAAACGTGTTTGTGTTTATATCAGTTGGTTGCGGTCGGGTTAAGTCGCTGACGCCGCGGTCGCACCTGGGCCGGCGTGGGAACAGGGCCGAGTGTGCATTGTCAGCTACCTTCATCTCAGTGATCCATGCATTCAAACATATGAAGCAACTTACGCATCTATTTATATATACACTCACATACACCGCGTTTATCTGTATATGTATGAACGACCTACATGAATACATACACACGTTTGTATGTATATAGCCGCGCATATGTGTGTGTATATTCATATACACATGTATCAGTATGCTCAGTCACACATTTGTGCCCAAGTGTTTCCATACTTCGCCTCGCGCGCGCGCGCCAGTAAATGCGCGCGTGCGCGTGCATACATCTGTATTGATCTTGACAGATCTCCATTAAAAACGTATATTATTGTGAATTGCAGAGTAGAAACCAAATGACAGCAGAGGGACATGTCGACTTACCAAGTGTGCTAAAGTCGTCAGAGGTTAACGTGGTCTCGAGTGGTGGCGCGTCTGGCCTGGGAAAGCGAGAGGGACCGGGGTGGTGGCCGCTGCTACAGCTCCTGCTAGAGAACCACGGGAAAAACGTCCATATTGTTCAAAAGGCGAAATACGAAATGCGCCAGCCTGGGGATGAAGTGGCCCTCCAGGATTCTTCGGTTGCCGGTGGGAGTGAGGCGAGGGCACGCCTATCAACACGTATGGCGAGGGCAGGCTTTTGTCTTATTCACCTCTTCCGGGCGGCGAGATGAGACCGACGGCGTCTTCGCACACGGGATCGGGGGCGGCTACTCGGTGCGTAGCCGGAACGACGAGAACGAGCGAGTCTGGGAGTCGTGGCTCAACAGCGCGTCGACCGACCGTCAAGACGTCCGCGAGCGAGAGAGACGACCTCTTCTCTGCGCGACACACGTGGAGCGACTGAGCCAACGAGGGGCGAGGTAGCGGTCCCTGGGCCTGGCTGGCTGACGGGAGGGGAAGGGGCTGACGGCGAGGGGGCGCGCTCGCTAGTGTGGTGGGGGAGGCGACGGGGACTGGCTGACGAGCTGACTGGCTGGGAGAAACAAAGTTCTTGCTGGCAAGTTCGCCGTCTTCCCCACTTGCACGCTGGTCCCGCGAAACATGTGACTCCGACCTCGTCTTTTCGAGCGTCCTGACGGAGGCAGCTTGGCGAGCGGACGGGAATGCAAGCGTCCGGTGCCAAGAGCAGTGCCTCAGAACGGTCAGAGATGGAGGTATGGAGGTATATGGGAGAGTTTGTAATGCAGCCAGGGGACAGAACCAGACAATTCTGGATACGGGAGCAGCAAGCGATCAATACGGGCGGCAGGTTCCAGCACGCATGCCACATGGGCGAGCAGACGCGGCCAGGGGTGCTGGCGGAGGTACGGACTTGCAGGTGGCCTGTCTGCATGAGATACTCACCTGGCCCTGTCACCTCATTCCTTCTGCTTCGGAGAACCCCAGGGACAATTCTTCATACATTGTATCTAATCTTTCTCAACGGTCAGTCTTAGACTGGGGTTAAATGTACGTATGATCGAATTTCAGGGGCAGTGGCTTACGCCGTTACTGGCGCAAATGGAGAACCGAATTTGCAACGCACAGCTGTGAAGTAATTTCGTTACCTATATAAATGCCTGTTTATTACACATGTTCTCTGTTCTTTCTGTCCGACAAACACATCTTCGAATCAGTGGTTGGCATTCGCCGAATTCTGGAATTACAGAACCGAGAGAAGAGGATGAATGAGAGAGTCGGCCGCATCGCTGATGAAATAAACATCGGCACCTGCGTCGGAGGCTGCGCTCAAGAGGGGCACAAGCGCCGTGCCGCGCCGGAGTCGGCCCACACACGGGCTAATGGATTATTTTGATTGTTACAGGCGAGGCTAACACCCGCCTTGCTTGCCGCGAGGACGGGCTTGGACAAGGGATATTTAGGCCACTTTGCGACGCCGCGGGGAGAGACGAGGGGAAGCGCCAGGGCAAAGCATCAAGGGTCAACGACAAGGGGCAATCATCGCCGCGCCGGGACCAAGCTTTTGCAAAGAAATAGCAACAAGGTATCGACGAAAAGAGAACAAAAGATACATAGTAAGCGGAGAAAATATATCCTTATTTCTATTTCAGCAGAAGAGCAAATCTATTTTCTATATACATTGAGATCATGTAAGTTGAATGTACGGACCCTGTCAGTTGAATATGCAGGTGCTTGCGCGCGCACTCACGCAGCATTTCGTCTTCCTCAAGCCCTCACCTGTTTCAGCCACCCCGGGAACGAGGTCGCTCCCCCCCCCCATCCCTCTTTGCGCCCACGAGCACCCTCTTCCTCACGAAATGGACGTCTAGAATCAAATTAACTCTTTAGCTGACTCTGCCATCCTTCACCAAACGAGCAACGAAGACCTCATTTATATTTTCTCTGACTCAACCTTTCTTCCCGTTTTAGTGTTAGTTTACACTTTGATCGCCGCTCTCATTTCCTTACTTTTGCTCCATTGATAAAACGTTATTCAAACCCATGTGCTTGAAAGATATCATATAGGCCTATATCTTGGGCGTGGGGTTATCACTGTCTCTCTGGTATTGTTCTTAGTCAAATTTCGCAATGACATTTTTATATTTTTCTTTTATATGATGACGAGATTCTTTATACCATGCTAAGCAATACTCATGTTCGCCTTAATGACATACGTATAATAATAATAATAGTAATAGTTGTGATAATGATGATAAAAGTGATCATGACTCCATCTGCTACAGAATCTTAAGTACATTTCTAAAGGGCAAAAACGTAATCACGTTAATGTGTTGGTATCTCACTGTGACTCTGTGTTATTTATAACATGAAAATTCTATTGTTTTCCTCGAAACAGCTATTCTAATTTCGATAATATTTTATTTTCTTATCAGTATTATCGTTACTGGGATCATCGACATAGAAATCATTATTATCTACAATACGACTGAAATTTTTGTCTTTGTTGTATTTGTTACTACTGTTTTCTTTGTCATCATTTTCATTTTGTGTCACCATTCATCACCCCAGTCATCGTTCATCAACTGTTCTGCTTTGATATAACAGCTTTTCTCCTTAGACGACGACAAACACTGTTCTCCCTTATAACCTAAGTTAACCTAGGTTTACGAAGGAAAAAAAGGAACAAACTCAGCTGTTCTGCTTCGTCCTGGCGGAGGAGAAGGAATGGTAGAAATGAATGGCTAGAGGCTGGAGCAAGTTTCATTGGAATTACGTGCTTTTCGCTTTAGTTTCATGGATTCTTCTGTTTGTTCCCATTGCTTTAGATTCTTGAGATCCATTTCTATAATTATGGTTTACGTTTGTTTGGTATAGATATAGAAAAGAAAATGTACAGATATATGTAACCCCCCACTCTCTCTGTGTGTCTCTTTCTGTCTCTCTTCGTCTCTCTCTGTCTTTCTCAGTCTTTCTCTGTC